AATAATAAAATTAAAAAATTTTCTCTAGTATTCATTAGTCTCTTTTACATGGAACACTTATTTCTCATTATTATTGCCATTTTCAATATTCAAATTTCAAGATTAATTTAGAGCATTGTCTTTGTAGAAGATGAACTACTACTTTCCACTAAAGAGTTCTGTTATCACAATGGGATAAATGGGGCCAAAGGTAAGGACAATTTGGAAAAAAGAAAAAAGTTATTTTCTAGCAAGAGAAGTAATTTGATTCAAACCCAATAGATTGGGTGGAGAACCAATGAAGTTGAGTTTTTATAGTGGAAAAAAATAATAATAAAGCAGGCTGTGACTGGTTCAAGGCCTCTATCCACTTCAAAGCAGTCACTGAAGTATCATTTCGGCAGGCATTTCTGGATTTTGCTTTGTTTTTGTTGTTATGTGTCACGGAGACCTAAGATTCACAGCGACAGTATGAACAGCTGATCTGAACCTTGCCCTGTCCTGTGCCATCCTCATCATCTCTAGCACGCTTGAGCCTGTTGTTGGTCACTTTGTCAATCCATCTAGCTAAGGGTCTTCCTCTCTTTTTCTGAGACCCCACCTTTCTCAGAATGATGTCTTATTTCAAGGCCTGGCCCCTCCTTACAACATACCCAAAGTATATAAGACTAAGTTTCACCATCTTTGCCTCTAAGGAACACCCTGGTTACATCTTTTCTAAGAAAGACTGTTCTTTTGGAAGTCTGGAATGCTCCGTACTCTCCAACACCACAGTCTCAAGGCACTAATTCTTACTTTGTCATTAAGCATTACCCAACTTTCATACGCTTAGGAAGCACTTGAAAAGACCTTGAATCAGGTGTATTGATAGCAGTCTTATTGATAGCATTGTTCTTTAGCATTTTGGAGAGGTCCTGACAGTAAATTTTTCCCCAGTGTAATATGTCTTTTAATACTTAACTTGGTTTTAATTTAATCATACTTAACTGTGGGCCACTTTCTCAGAGGCCAAACTTAAACTCACACAGCCTTTGAAATGGAGAAGACCAACTCTTGGCCCTGTTCCTGAGAACTTTTATAAAGGCTCTTCAAATAACAGTCTTGCATGATGAAAACTGAAGAGCTATTGACCTTTGGATTCTCTTGGAATATTGTACCCAGGAGAATTCTGCGTCTCAGTGGTCATCCACAGGCTAGGAAATGAAAAGGTGTCTGGTAGGTCCACCTACTATCAAATACCTACCCTCTTAGCCAGTGTCTTTGGTATATGAAATTCAACCATCAGAAATGTCCTCCTTGGGTCTTTGTTTTTACTGAGGCAATAGTACATCTGAAATAATTACTCTCTTTGGGAATCTTGGATGGTGCAGAGTTAATGTGGTTGGCTACTAAACAAATGGTTGGAGATTAGTCTACCCAGAAGAGTCAAGGAGAAAGATCTGATGATGTATTTCTTTTAAAAAAAATCACTGAAAACAGTTCTATTGACAGAGTCAGATTGAATTGCTTCATTTTATTTTTTTGTATTTGATTCGATATGTTGTACCTTTAATGGTTCATCAGATGCTGTGCAAGAACACTTTAAAATGCTAAAGAGCAATCATGTCATTTAAGGACAAAGGTGCCCCTGATCTAAGCTAAGATCTTTTCAATCACTTTCATGCATGTGAAAGTTGAACAGTGAATTCAGATGGCAGAACTGATGCCTTTGCACTGTAGTGTTGGAAATGAGTAGTGAGTACTCCATGGACTTCCAAAAGAAAGAAGAAGTCTGTCTTGGAGGAAATGTAACCAGGGTGCTCCGTAGAGGCAAGAATGGTGAAACTTTGTCTCACACACTTAGGGCATATTTGCCAAGAGGGGCCAGTCCTTGGAAAAAGACATCATCCTGGGAAAGGTGGAGAGTCAAAGAAAAGGAAGAAGACTCTCAACAAGATGGATTAACAGAGTAACTGTAACAAGGGGCCCAAGTACATCCAATGGTGAAGATGGCACAGGATAGGATTCAGATCTGTTGTTCATTGGGTCACTTTGAGTCATCATCGAACAATGGCACCTAATAGCACTAGATGTTCTTTCTGTATCTGATGAGACTGTGTCATAGGCAACTTTGTACACTTGATTGATCTCACAATTCTATAATTTACTATTTGTTCACAAGGAGCATTTTATAGTCATTTGTTTATTTCCCCCTGTTCTCTTGTCAACATGCTTAAAATATGAGAGACAGCACTTTATCATCCTTGTTTCAAAGGAACATGCTGGCTGCATTTTTTTCCAAGATATATCAGTTTATTCTTTTGGCAGTCCATGGGATATTCAGTACTCTTATCTAACACCAAAGTTCAAAGGTATCAACTCTTCTGTCATCATCATTTATTGTCCAGCACTCAGATTCATAGTAAGCAAATGAAAAGGCCATGGCCTGAATTAGACACACCTTAGCCTTCAAACTGACATCATTGCCATTCAGTTTTTGGCGAGATCCCTGAAAGCAGATTTGCTCAAGACAATGCCTCTCCTGATCTCCTGGCTGCTGGTGCCAAGGGTGGTGATTATTGTGCCAAGGGTATTGATTTTGATCAAAGTAAGATGGAATCATCGACCCTATCAGTCATTTCTCCGTCAATCATGATGTTGCCTATTGGCCCGGTGATGAGGACCTTTGTTTTCTTGCTATTGAGATGTAATCCGTATTGATGGTTAAAGTTTTTTATCTTCTGAAACAAGTGTTTCAAATTCTCCTCACTTTCAGCAAGCCAGGTTGTGTCATCTGCGCCAAATCTAGATATCTTAAAAGCATGGGATGGCATCAATGTCTAGGCAGTTCGTCAGAGGTGACACAAATTACTTACCTTGGGCATTCTCATATGAGGTGATAAAAGTATCAGCGGTTTTTAATATCTTAAATATCCTATAAGGATCTTTCTTAGAGAGGGTGAAATCAAGTCTCTCCTTGGAGGCTAGGATTTTGAAGTTCCACCTCACTTACTTTGGGCATGTGGCCAGGAGAGATTGGTCCTGGGAGTAAGACATCATGTTCAGAAGGGTAGAGGGACAGTGCAGGAGAGGGAGACCCTGGATGAGATGGATTGATTCAATGACTGGGGTGATGGGGCTGGGTGTGTCAGAGTCAGTGAGACTGGCTCAGGACAGGGAAGGGTTCAGAGCTGCTGTACATAGCAAATGACTCAATGGCATATAAAAACAATAACATACTATAACATGTTTGGAAGCAGGAGTAGCATCCACTTCCTAAATAACATGCTTCCATAAATCCTATGAACTTTGATAAGTGTCGATAGTTGTAGAGGGTCTTCAGGCCTTTTGTTCATAGGATCTCTATGAGTTGTGCTCAACTTGAAGGTAATCAACAACAACAATTCTATATAGAAAAGAATGTTCTTCAGGGATTGACTCTTATAAACTAAAGGGTTTTCAAATAATGGAGGAAATTCTTTTCAGTGTTTTATATGGAGGCTGCTTGAGACCTATTAAACTGGAATCTAGAAGTCCTGAGGGGAATTAAGATTCTTAAAAATTAAAATACAGGTATTATTTTCATTTCAGATAGATTCCTCATAGGTAGAATAACATTAATTCATAGTTTATTAATTGTAAGCAAATAAATTTCTGCAACTCCATTAGTTAATCTGACAATTATCTAATGAGAGTTAAAAACAAATAATCCCACAGATTCGAATAGACATGATTAACTGAACTGTTAATATTTTGTGCATGTTTAAGTTAAAAGGCCCCAGTCTTTATTCCTCTTCCTTAACATTCAGTGTGACTCCTAGCGGTTATATTCTCTTCTTTTTGGTAAAAGAGCTTCCTTGGAGACTGACAATCAAGTGTAGTAGTCTTTCCAGGGGGAACATCTACCAAATAATGTGTTTACCACCCTAAATGCATAGGAAACTTTTTAACACCCCCCTCCACCACTTCTGGTTCTTTAATAATTCCCTGTGGGTGAAAAGACAATATTGGTTAAAAGTCCTGGCAATTATGGAGATCAGCATTTTGACTTACCTCACTGAGTGAGTGATACTGTTGGTAGTAAGAGGAGGAGGCCCGGGGGCTGACAGTGTCATTTGAAGTCTGCTGGAGAATGAGGTCTTCAACATCATCCATTAAGACACTAGAGGATGAAACAGAGAGTGAGCTGATTTCCAACCTAGGCTCTGCTCTGACCTTCCCCCATAATCTAGTGCTGACACACACATGGGGAAAATTAACCAGGAAAACTAAGAAGCAAAAATCTGTCAAGGTACAAACAAAACAAATAACATCGCTATAGGCTCAAAGTTGGAGTCCTCTCAGTAGATCCGTCAGGGGCATCAGAGGGACGGGAGCTCCTATTGGCTCGAGGCCCCCACTAACTCCTTTTTCTCCACTGTTATTTCTCCAGTGAGATCCTTCAGTGTCTTTACAATGAACAGGTTAATGGACACCTTTCTCCACTACAAAGTAATAGCATGTTGTTCTGTTTTCAGTTAAGAACGAAAAAGAAGCAGGAAGAGCAGTTTTTTTGCCTTTCACTGTGACCTGTATTAGGTGTTCTGTATAGCCAAAGATTAACCCATCATGGATCTATAACATTTTCCAGTAGGTTCTCTCCCTTCCCATCACTGCTACCTCTTCAAAATGGATTGTGTTTATAAGCACTATCTTTGCATTTTATGGTAATGGTTTTCTAAAGGCCATGGTCTTTGCAAACACTTGTTATGTATCAGAGAGTTGGACAATGATGAGGGAGGATAGAAAGCGAATTGATGCCTTTGAGCTTTGGTGTTGGACAAGAGTGTTGAGGGTATCATGGACTGCTAAGAAAATAAACAGATTCATCCTTGAGAAGGTTAAGCCAGGCTGCTCCTCAGAGGCAAAGATTCTGAGGCTTCGTCTGACTTACTTCATCTGATGTTGTAAGGAGAGACTGGTGCTTGGAGAAGAAAATCATGCTTGGGAGGGTGGAAGGCAGGTGCAGGAGGGGAAGACCCTCTAGGAGGTGGATTGATTTGGTGACTGGGGTAATCGGGTTGGGTGTGTTGGAGACAGTGAGATTGGTATAGGACAGAGCAGGGTTTAGGGCTGTTGTGCATAGGGTTGCTATGAGTTGCAAGCGACTCGACGGCACATAACAACAATAACACAATGCTCCCTTGAGGGAGCACTGGTGACCTACTGGCAAGAATCTGCACAGAAATCCTGAAGACAAGCAGTTTGAATCCACCAACTTCTCTGTGGGAGAAGAATGGGAAATCTCCTCCCATGTGATTAATTGCTTCTGAAAATCCAGCTTGATGGCACACAACACAACAACAATGACAACAACAGAGAAACAGAAGTACTAGAAAAGAGATACAGAGGGAAAAGACCTAATTGAATTTCTCTTGAGAAATGCTGTCACTACTAACTAGGTAAACAATTTAACCACCCTAAAACATTCTGCCACATGTTGTTGTTGTTATGTGCCGTCGAGTTGCTCTATCCTGTGCCAATCTCACTTCCTCCAACACACCCATCCCGATTACCCCAGTCACTGAATCAATCCATCTCATAGAGGGTCTTCCCCTCCTGCGCTGTCCCTCCACCCTCCC